TCTTTCTAGCTCCTAATCCTTAAGTTTACCTCTGCTAGACGTAAATTTCTTATTATCTTGAGTTTATTACTACTACTTTAACACCATACCTACAATTCGAGAAAAAATTAAGAAGGAAACCCGATTCTGTGGGTCTCCATCAAATGCCTCTATCTAGTCTGCTCCTTTTTTAATAACTAGGACATCTAAAAATGATAACTTATTGACCTTTTCTAACTTATACCGAACTTAGTCGCCTTATATAATCTATTAATTAACCCAAGGAAGTCTTCCAAACACTTTTTGCTATGCTGTCAGATAACAAAGTAATCATCCACATATCTGACCAATAGTTTCTGAATTAAGAATGGCTCTTGAAAAAGCAGGACTTCCAATTGAGACATGTAGTTATTAGGTAAAACTGGAGACAAAAACGATCCCATAGCTAAACATTCGGTTTGCTCTTATAATTTATCATCAAAGGTTAAATATGTTCTACACATTATTAAGTTGGTTAATCTCATCACTGACTCCTTGCCTATTTTATTTCCTTATATAATCTCTGAGTGTAGATCTAAGGCTCCCACTTACCGGTATATTCTTGTACATCGATACTACATCAAAAATTACAAGCAAATCTTCTTGTTCTATTATTTGCTCATCTAGTAATTTATAAAGTCATATTAATTCTTTATTGAAAATTTCCAAAAACCTGAAATCTGCTAAAATTGACCACAAAGGAATCGTGATGTCTTATGCATCACACCACCATTATTGTTCGCAATGATCCTAAGTAGGACCCCCTTTTCGTGAATTTTGAGCAGACCATATTCACTAGGGGGTCTAACATTGCGTTAGAGAAGTGAATTCATTTTCCACTTGTCCGTTTCTCACCCTCACTTTTTTTGATAGCGTATAAATTGACAAGTTAGAAAAGGAATTCGAAAAGTCGCCGCTGCAAACAAGAATGTTGATGCTTTACTTTGCACTTTAGTCGCATGGTAAGGAAAAATTAAAAGAATTTAGGAACTCTAGGAACCAGATCAACAAAAGAATCAGATCTACAATGTAAATGAAGAATGAGTGGCTTTCTCCTAGATGTAGAATGTAATTAAACTATTGTATAAGTAAATAATTTATGTCTTGTTTCATCACAATCTGATCATCCTAAACTTAAGACTAATGGACATTGAGTCGTGGGGCAAAGAATTGAAAGAAATGAAACTGATTCTCTTTAGTAATGGATACACCGTAGAATAAATAAGTAAATATAAAGAAATATGAGAGTAGTAAAGAGCAAATGGCAACATGGACAGAATAAGATATCGAGATATAAAAAATATAAAATGAAAAATACGGTCAAATTGGAAATATTTGTCGTCTAGCGAACTAAGTCAAAAACTGCGACTAATATTGAGAAAATGGAATACCCAGGTGATCGCGAAGGAGAACACAACTCGCTTCGCTAGTTCATTGACACAAGAAGAGAAGATGGACGCACTGGATTGCTCAGGAGTTGGCAGCACAGCATGCAATAACTGTGGACAGAATCATATTGGTGAACCAAGAATAAAAATCTGTCTGCGAATCAATAAAAATCATACTCTGCAAAAACATAGATACGGAAAGATAATCAACTAGGAGTCAGGAAGACTTATTGCATATAGTGAAAATGGAAGACAGTGCAAATTCGAGAGGACGTTGATATACTAACTGAAAGAAATCTAATGAACAGGAGACTAAACGAAGATCAGAATTAGGGAAAACTTTGAGTATTGTTTAGGCAAACCAAAATATAAGGAAGAAGCAAGATCAGAAAAAAGAAAACGTCTTGATCAGGTAAGTAGTTTGAACAGCAGATAAGAGGAATCTCAAGGAAAACGTCATCGAGATAAAAACGAAAATCAAGGGAAGACGTCTGCAGTGAGCCAATCTAAACAAAGCAAACAGCTATATCTGGATGTCGCCCCACTTGCAGAAGACTGCAAATAAGGTGAGTTCACTAAGGTCTCTCTAAAAGTAAAACCAAGCTGCGAAAATAAGATCAAGCTACCTCTATTCAACAAAAGAAGCCCTCCATCAATATAGACTAACCATTCTGGTCCTCAAATTAAACAATTTTGTTTGGGGCGAGTATATTTGATAGAAACCAAATTAACATGTGAACCCCTATGCCTTTATTCGTTCGAATTCGCCCTACGAGCAGAGGAGAACTTTAATCTTTATGCTTAGACTTGGGTTACGAACTCAGTAGAACAACTATCTTCTCAGCCTCCACCAATCAAACCATCAACCGGAATCTGAACGTAACATCTTGTAAGGATTCTAGTAGGAGGGACTCCTAGTTGATATATTTTTCAACAGAACCATCTTCTTCAGGATGATGCCATTTGTTAAGGCTCAGCTAATCACGCTCTGCCCCACTGCTACACCTCCACTCTCGTATAGCAACCTCTTGCCTCAACAGATCGTCCATTGAAAGTCAAGACGATTGGCTCCTCGAGAAACAGGAGCAGGACCAGAGCAAAGTCCTCCAAAGACAACATCGTTATGTTTACACCTAAAAGACTAGCAAAAACGATCTTTTCTAAATCGATTATCTACGCCTTTCCTTTATAAAGCATGTTATTTTAACGCATCTTGTGCGTGACAAAAAAAAACAGTAAGCCATTTCGTTAGTTCTTTTCCGATTCCTTAATCTTTTGTTCCTATGCGGCCTACAAAGAACTTCCACAGATAAGAATACCTCTGTCTTTTGAACACATAACTTTGTCAACTCTCGTAATCTATGTCTATGCATATATATTTTGGCATAAAAGCATACACAACTTAAGGAGATGGCGCCAATACAAGTAAAGCAATTCCATAATTTCTGTGTTGAGGCAAGCTTAATGTATAGTTTAAATTTTAAATACTGAATATGGAAGCAATTATCAGATGTAAACATGTAAATACGTCAAGCAAACCCATCATTATAAGAGTTGTATTCACCTTATTTTGTCAAAGGTGATAAAGGACTGGTTGTTGAATTTTTCCAATGATATAAGTAGGCCTAACTTGTTCACTGAATTTTACACTAAGTTACTTGCCAAAAGATACTCTCATTCAGAATGGAGTACAGTTTCGACCTAGCTTTGGTCTCGTCATCACCCTCAGTGGGACCCGAAGCTGGGTAGTGTAGCTTTACAATTAAAACTAGGCCATACATAGGGAATAAAACATGGAAGGGGGGAGGGAAATACACTGTCTTATAAATTTAATGATTAATATTTATATATGCATGGTATATAAGATATTCTAAATAAGTCTAAAATACGTGATGATTATCATTAGCAAGATAGATTAGATGCTAATTGTTGCATATTTAGTTTAAAAGGAAGACATACCAATGCAATGGACCAGCTCCAGGAAGACACTGTTCGGAAATGGAGGCTCTCCAAGTTCCCTAAAGTAAAGTTTGAGCAATCCTGAGGTAGAATTGATGTCTCGTGCTTCGCATACATTAATCAATGGATCTTCACCGTGCTCGAAAGCTGCCTTAAAGTCATTAATTTCTGCCTGGCTTCCAGAAATTCGGAAAACCCCCTGATGATGCATACCTAAATAAAAAATGTGAACATTTGTCAAAAATTAATTTGTTAAAATAAAAATCTTTGTAAATGATAGGGACTCAGAAATCATTAATAGTTTTAGGCATGTTTACCCTACATCTACCCTATCTATTTTAGGCAACAAGACTAAATCGCATTTATTTCTCATAATATTGTAGTAAAGGGGAGAAGTTAAGAATAAAAGCCAATAGGTAATCTTGGAAATAATGGAGGTTCATCTTTGCTAGCCTTATTATGTAATGTAACAGATATGGTCAAGGCAAGAAACCATTCATTACTAAACCAAGAAAAGACTAGCTACAGTTATGTTCACTTAAAATACCATATATATATATATATATGGCAGTGTGAAAGCCCTAATCAGACTAGAGGCTAATAAAGCCTCATTTTCTTGCATTATGCGAATAATAGGTGGAGTTAAATTCACCTTAAAAGACAAAATCCTTTTTTTTAAATTCATTGTAAATCACCCAACCAAACTTATTGTAAATTCAAAAAATATCCATAGTAAATATAATAAAAATGTATTGTAAAAATCAATAGAATAAAATTAATAACGAAGCACAATTTTAAGTTTGTAAAAGATTAAAAGGGGTGATAGGCAACACGTAGGTATGCACACTGTCCAGGGAAATTTACGAGAATGCAATATTTTTACATAAGATTTGACTTCGTTAGTCGAAAATGTTACATTTCGATAACCCTTCAGGCTTCTGGTAGCAGTAAGGCAAAGTCTGTTTTCTCCAAAATAATTAAGGTTAATGGAGAAATAATTTGTAAAAATAATGTATAATTCTAATAGTATAATAAAGAAAAGAGAAGCCTCGAATGTGGTCCACTCACCTAGGACCAAAAAACTGACG